CCATCTTCACCATCCTTCTCGTCTCCATCTTCACCATCCTTCTCGTCTCCGTCTTCACCATCCTTCTCGTCTCTGTCTTCACCATCCTTCTCGTCTCTGTCTTCACCATCCTTCTCGTCTCCATCTTTGTCTTCACCATCCTTCTCGTCTCCGTCTTCACCATCCTTCTCGTCTCTGTCTTCACCATCCTTCTCGTCTCCATCTTCACCATCCTTCTCGTCTCTGTCTTCACCATCCTTCTCGTCTCTGTCTTCACCATCCTTCTCGTCTCTGTCTTCACCATCCTTCTCGTCTCAGTCTTCACCATCCTTCTCGTCTCTGTCTTCACCATCCTTATCGTCTCTGTCTTCACCATCCTTCTCGTCTCCGTCTTCACCATCCTTCTCGTCTCAGTCTTCACCATCCTTCTCGTCTCTGTCTTCACCATCCTTCTCGTCTCCGTCTTCACCATCCTTCTCGTCTCAGTCTTCACCATCCTTCTCGTCTCTGTCTTCACCATCCTTCTCGTCTCTGTCTTCACCATCCTTCTCGTCTCTGTCTTCACCATCCTTCTCGTCTCTGTCTTCACCATCCTTCTCGTCTCTGTCTTCACCATCCTTCTCGTCTCTGTCTTCACCATCCTTCTCGTCTCCGTCTTCACCATCCTTCTCGTCTCAGTCTTCACCATCCTTCTCGTCTCTGTCTTCACCATCCTTCTCGTCTCAGTCTTCACCATCCTTCTCGTCTCTGTCTTCACCATCCTTCTCGTCTCTGTCTTCACCATCCTTCTCGTCTCCATCTTTGTCTTCACCATCCTTCTCGTCTCCATCTTCACCATCCTTCTCGTCTCTGTCTTCACCATCCTTCTCGTCTCCGTCTTCACCATCCTTCTCGTCTCTGTCTTCACCATCCTTCTCGTCTCTGTCTTCACCATCCTTCTCGTCTCTGTCTTCACCATCCTTCTCGTCTCCATCTTCACCATCCTTCTCGTCTCTGTCTTCACCATCCTTCTCGTCTCTGTCTTCACCATCCTTCTCGTCTCCATCTTCACCATCCTTCTCGTCTCTGTCTTCACCATCCTTCTCGTCTCCGTCTTCACCATCCTTCTCGTCTCTGTCTTCACCATCCTTCTCGTCTCTGTCTTCACCATCCTTCTCGTCTCCATCTTCACCATCCTTCTCGTCTCCGTCTTCACCATCCTTCTCGTCTCCGTCTTCACCATCCTTCTCGTCTCTGTCTTCACCATCCTTCTCGTCTCCGTCTTCACCATCCTTCTCGTCTCCGTCTTCACCATCCTTCTCGTCTCCGTCTTCACCATCCTTCTCGTCTCCGTCTTCACCATCCTTCTCGTCTCCATCTTCACCATCCTTCTCGTCTCTGTCTTCACCATCCTTCTCGTCTCCGTCTTCACCATCCTTCTCGTCTTTGTCTTCACCATCCTTCTCGTCTCCGTCTTCACCATCCTTCTCGTCTCTGTCTTCACCATCCTTCTCGTCTCTGTCTTCACCATCCTTCTCGTCTCCATCTTCACCATCCTTCTCGTCTCTGTCTTCACCATCCTTCTCGTCTCTGTCTTCACCATCCTTCTCGTCTCCGTCTTCACCATCCTTCTCGTCTCTGTCTTCACCATCCTTCTCGTCTCTGTCTTCACCATCCTTCTCGTCTCCATCTTCACCATCCTTCTCGTCTCAGTCTTCACCATCCTTCTCGTCTCAGTCTTCACCATCCTTCTCGTCTCCATCTTCACCATCCTTCTCGTCTCTGTCTTCACCATCCTTCTCGTCTCCGTCTTCACCATCCTTCTCGTCTCTGTCTTCACCATCCTTCTCGTCTCTGTCTTCACCATCCTTCTCGTCTCTGTCTTCACCATCCTTCTCGTCTCTGTCTTCACCATCCTTCTCGTCTCAGTCTTCACCATCCTTCTTGTCTCCATCTTCACCATCCTTCTTGTCTCTGTCTTCACCATCCTTCTCGTCTCCGTCTTCACCATCCCGGGGCGTCGCTCGACAGGCAGCCTACCAACTGTCCTGGCCGAGTAGCGTAAGCCAATAGTCGGCGAACTAAATATGAAGTGTGTTAGATGGTGCTCACTTCCGGTTCTTTCGGTAAAGTCACGTAGAAAGAAAATAAATTAAATAATAGAATACGACGTTTCGATTGCAACACAAGCAACCGTCATCAGGTAGAACTAAATTTGAGAGAGAGACAAAACACAGACATGGAGACACACAGACAGACACTCTCTGCTTGTGTGTCTGTCTGTGTGTCTCCGTGTCTGTGTGTTCTCTCTCGTATCTAGTTCTTCCTGATGACGGTTGCTTGTGTTGCAATCGAAACGTCGCATTCTATTATTTAATTTATTTTCTTACTACGTGACTTTACCGAAAGAACCAAAGAGTGATTCCTGCAGTCACGAAAGCTTCAAGTCAAGTTTAGATGGTGCTCGTTCATAAAGTGCCTCCAAGTCTTATCGTCTCCGAGTTAGTCATTACACTGATCACTGATCACCAGAGTTTCCATTCGGCATATGACACCACCACCCCAACACTGGAACGGCGCTCTGATGAATTGCCACGATTTCAGAGGAGCAACTCGATTCAACAGTAATCGATTGATCCCATTTTTGCCGCCCTGTCTCATTTGACCAGATTTGTTCCATGAGCATGAATGTAACATGAACACATCATTTGCGTAAGTGGTAAAATAATCGATTCTCACCAACAGGTAATTCGATGTGTTTATTGAGTGAAGGAATTGATTAAGTTAATGCATTGTTAGATCAACTTACGTGTCTTCTGACACCATCAGGTTTAGTAACAGTGTGCGGTCCTTGTGCGATCCACCAACCCCAACCTCCAAATTACGAGATTGCTGTTGGTCGTGGCGAGCATGTTTGTCGTGCTTTCACAGATTGTGTTTTTTTTTTGGTGTGCACTTTCGCGCGTTGTTTTTTTGTTGTTCCTCAAATCGTCTTCCAATCAGAAATGCAGTCGTTCTCGTTTCTTCACATCCTCTTTGACTGGCGAAATAAAATGATTCGTTGTACTATGCACGTAACTCGATCCTCTTTTTTGCACCGGTCGTAGCCAACCGTGCTAATCGGAGGTGCCGTATAACGCTCGGAGCAGAACGAGTAGGAAATGATGGCCTACTGGTTACGGGCGCGTGCAGAGGATGCAATGATTTCAGTGGATGGATAGGGTAAGCAACTTTGAAGTCTCAAGAAAGCATCGTAGATGTCACGGGGAAGAGGAGGTTGTGATGGGTGGAAAGAGCGTGCAGGACAGAGGATGTGTCGGCCACCGACACTCGCATTGGAGTGGCGTTCAGAGATGCAATGATGGAGGGGAAGACCTCGAGCCAGATGGTACTGTGTGAGCAGTCCTTGAAGGTCTGGTGTTGACTTAACAAAGACAAGATCCAGCCGCAGTGGTTCTTCGCCTTTACTGCAGCCTTGCACCCCTTTGATTCTCAATCGTTATAAAATATTTTATGTTAATAAATGCATAGGGTTTGATGAAACCAAGTAGTTGTATACTCTTTGGTTCTTTCGGTAAAGTCACGTAGGTATAAAATAAATCACGTTTCGGCTTTCCCACCCGATGACGGACGCTTGTGTTGCCCCCGAAACGTCGTGATTTATTTTATTTTCTACCTACGTGACTTTACCGAAAGAACCAAAGAGTATGGATCCCTGCAGTCACGAAAGCTTCAAATCAAGATTAAGTAGTTGTACTTACGTGTCCGTGCTTAATTTGTTTCGATGATTTACCTTCTAAAGAAATCTGGCCATGTCTCGCACCACCCAAGGGGTGCGTGCACCCCAGCTTGATAACCACTGATCTCGCAGAAGGAAGCGATGGTGATGTGTGGTGGTATCAGTGGTATTGTTCATAACAACATCTTGACAAAAATGTCGACCAGAGCAGACATTTTAATAATGCATTTTATTGCACCAAGCAACTACTGCAAACAAAATATTGCATTGAACAAAGTTCGTCGGATGTTTGTATTGCGACCGAAACGTCGTGATTTATTTTATTATTTTTCTACTTACGTGGCTTTACCGAAAGAACTAGGGAGTATGGGTTCCGGCAGTCACGAAAGCTTCGAATAAAAATTGCAACATTGTTATTATTACTAAGAACTATTACTGAAAACACAATGTTTCAAGTAACGCTCCTTCTGTCTTAGCCAATTCTATTTGCACGATTAGAAGTGACACCATCCCACGATCATAACGCACAGCATGTGCACCTTTAGCACGGTGGTTTTAACTACCGGGTGTGCGACTGCAAAGCAGTCACCGGGCCCGATGGGCCAAGGAAAAGGGTACGAGGGAAATTGGATACAGAGCCCTGTTTACATTATTTGTACTCGACACCGTTTCAACCATGCTACTCCACTGACTTTAACACAGACACACACGCGCGTGCATGAACACACAGCCAGTGCCGGTTTGATTGCTTCGTGTTATAACCAATGCAATGTTGACTTACATACCCGTCAACCCCTTACCAGTGGCCTACCTTATTACAGACCAATTCAGACCTTAAATTTCGATTTAAAGCTTTCGTGACTGCAGGGATTCATCTTCTTGGTTCTTTCGGTAAAGTCACGTAGAATGGAAATAAAATAATAAAGCTCTGTCTTCTGGACAGACCTGTTTCTTCACCTGAAGAAGGCCACTTGTGTTGTGGCCGAAACGTCTTCTGGACAGACCTGTTTGTTCACCTGAAGACGGCCACTTGTGTTGTGGCCGAAACGTCGTGAGAATTCTATTTTATTATGTTTTATTTTTATTATTTTATTTCCATTCTACGTGACTTTACCGATTTTTGTTGTTTTATTTTTTACCTACGTGACTTTACCGAATAGAACCAAAGAGTATTTACCGAAAGAACCAAGAAGATGAATTCAGACCTTATTGCTCATCCCGTGCCCTTATAAATCTCAATGTTCATCATACAAAGTCCCATCACAAGGGTGAAACACAAATAGACATTCATTATGATTTTTTGTATTAAAACGGCTGTACGCCGCATGGGCCTGAAAACGAATTTTCCCTGTATAAGAATACGGGGTAAACCGTACGGGTCGTCGGCTACGTTAATATAGCAATGTCTTGTTAAAGTCCACGGACAATACACAGTCGCACCGCCGTCTCGTGGACCAACACTGCACCCTAGCGTTAACGCGTGATTGCTGGAGCTTCTCGCGCTTGATTCAAGCATATGCATTGGGAGCTTTTCCCCCACGCAACAAACGGTGTGTGAAGACGAAATAAACCTGAACGCGCGTAGCGCTCGCCTGCTTGGCGTCATTGAAACTGCACGCAGGCAACGGCTGCTAGCAGCGTCCTGTATACTTCGTGCGGCACGTGTTCTTCACAATGCCTAGCCCGCTACACCAGGTGGCTCGGCAAACCAAGATAACAAGAAGAGCCATTCTTTTTCGAATTCGGTGGAAGAAGGAAAAAACAAACCCCTCCTCAATATTTTAAGAGGCCGCAATGCGACACTGCGCTTTTGAGTATTAGCATATCTCGGAGAGACCTTAAACGCATTTTATTCAACATTTGCGAACTGCAAGCCTCTCGATTCCAGCCGTGTGAAAGTAGCAACGTCAACAGTCGCCGCTGCAACAGCAGCGTTGGCGGAGACTCGTGGTTCGGTCTCTCGCTCATTGTTGTGACTTGCTGACCCGCGCCTACTGGGCATCTCTCGAAAAAAAATACCTTCATAGCTCGTCTGATTCCTCCAAAGGATAAATAAAGGTTCTGATTCTGAAAAAATAACGATTCTGACATGCTGGTTATGATGCTGATTTTCAAGCAAATCCTAGCGCATCGCAAAAAGATTTATACACATACAGTGGTGGCGGACGGAGGAAGATTTCAGTGCGGTTTGCTAGTGGCAGAGTGCACGTGACGTGAGGTTGTCTAGTGGCCCCGTGAGATCGTGGGTTAAGGGACGGGGGGGGGTATTGCACTGCAGACCACGTGACTAAATCTGGCTACTGCCGATGTAAAATATGCTGCGAATTCTAAAGCGTGTACACGTGTACATCCCTTTGTCCATGCACTGCTGGATGAAGGTCAAGCCTCACTGTGTTGACCACGAGGGCCGTTGGACCCTACGGGTGCTTCACTGTGTGCGGGTTTGTGAGGGCTTCGCTTGCGTTTTGATCGATCGTCACAATTTGAGCTCGCGATTAGTTTGAAGATTCTGATTCTTTTCTCTTTGTACATTGTGGTAAATTTAGCGCCTCTAGTGGATGGGTATTTGATGCGAACCAATCGCAGAGCATGGATTTTTTTTGTTTAATTGCACGGGCAGTTCAATGCCTGCATTGTGCGTGTAAAACTCCCTTTAAATCGATAATCGGGGATCATCTGCTGTGGCTCAAGGATTTGCTCTGTCACGGGGTGCGGGTGCCAAGCAGCAAGGTGCAGGTACCGGCAGTCACCGCGCTTTCCCACCGACGGCGCGTTTTCCAAACAACGGCATCGCCCCTGCTGAGCAAGCGCCCACCCGGCCCATCCATCGATTCGGTGAGGGTGGCGTCGCGAGAAACGGCACGCAGCAACCACGCTGCCGTCTGGCGAGCGCCCTGCCGCACGGCAAGAGCGGCGCGCCGCTCACACGGCAACGGCGGCGTCGTTTTTGGCAAGCGCGCTGCTGATCGGCGAGGGCGGTGCCGCGCGGCACGGGGGTGACGTCGCCACGGCGACCTCACTTCCCTCCGGTCTCCAGGCCGACCATGCGGGCGCTGAGCTCCCAGAGGCGGCGCGCCGCGTCGTCGTCCTTCCCCTGCGGTGCCACATCCTTGGGGGCGCAGTCGCTGTGGGGGAACGGAATTGAAAAAGCGCTCACCACAAGCTGGACCACGACACCTCGCCCATCTCATCAAGGAGCGTGCACCGATCGTCACGCGAACTCCGGTCGTCCTCCTTGGCGGTCGCAGTAGCAGCAGGGCACTGCGGTGGCTATGAGATGTTAACTACCTTGCCTGGTATGCAGGAGGTTGTGGGTTCGATCCTGACCCCGACACCTGTATATTCGGAGTTTGCACGTTATCTCCTCGTGGTCGCGTGGAATTTTCCACCGGTTTTCTCCTTCCACATTTAGAATCAACGTGCGTTTAGAGTATTTGCCTGCTATACATTTCCACGTGATAAGCCACTTCCGTTGAGCTGTCAAATGTGGCCTGGTCGCTTGTGATAAAGAGCAATAAAAAACAAATGTGTAAAAAATAAAAAGTGTTTTTTGGCCAGCCGTCGAATAAAGACGGTCACCACGTCTCACACGCTTTCAGATGCGCTTCCGCGGCCGTCTGGAACGCTCTTCTTTCCGATATTAGAAGGCCACTGGAGCTATGCATTTTTGTAACTAGGTTGGAAAATCATTTCTTTAGAACTGATTTTTTTGTTTAGTTTGTTGTGCTTACCCCCGCACCTCCGATGAAACACAGTTGGCTACACACGGCGTGAATACATAGGGGAAATGGGAGGAGGTAGGGATCGGTTTTCATCCATTGCTTGGAGCAGCCCCTTTAATTATCTTGCGACATGACCTCGATGGCAACTGTAAGAATAAGAATGGCGGCAGGACGAAGAATAAAAAAAAACACACCCCAAAATAGGCATGGTGAGTGGGACCAGTGGGGGTGGAGGGGTGGGTGGGTGAGCAGGTGGGCGAGTGCAGGTGAGCAGATGCATGGGTGGGTGGGCAAGCAGCTGCGCATGTGAGCGCGTGAACGGGTGAGCGTGGGCGGGCAGGTGAGTAGCCGGACAAGCAAGGTGGCTCAACGCGCATATGAGCGAGCGGGCGAGCGGGCGGGCGGGCGGACGAGTAGGTGAGTTGGCGGCCGGGTAGCTGCGTGAGTGGGCGAATAAGCGAGCGGGTGAGTGGGTGGGCAGGTAAAGCCGTGGGTGACGGTCAAACGTTGCTGGTGAGCAGGGCAGCTGCGTGAGCGACAACGGTAGGGTGAACCCATGTTCAGCGGTCGGGCGAGAGGTGCGGCGCGGGGTGGGTGCCGTCACCTGTAGTAGAGGCCAGAGACGTTCTCGAGCTCCTCGGCCACGGCGCAGTAGATGGAGGTCTGCGCGCCCTGCGGGGGCGTCTTGACGAGCAGCAGGATGATGGGGTACAGCAGCGCAGCCTTCCACGCCGCCACGCCGGCCAACACGTGGCGCGCCACCTCGGTTTTCACCACGCCCGGGTGCAGCGAGTTCACCGTCACGCCTGTGCCTGAGCACGACCACGCGGGCACGCAACGCGGGGTTCCTCGTCGGCGTCGGCGTCGTCGTCATCATCGTCATCGTTGTCATCGCCGCCTGGTCATCATCGTCATCGTTGTCACCGTCTGGTTTTCCTGTCGGTGGTGCCCGCACCTCCCCGGGAAAAAGGAATCCTAAGTGAGACCAGGTTAAGCCAATCTTATGCATCATTCCCATCATTATCAGTCAGCCGTGATCTATCTTGCTGGATGAAGGCCACACTAAGGCTGAGTGGTAGCTTTGTAATAATTCATCCTAGCCAGCGACTCAGTGAGTTGACACGATTCAAGAAGATGTTTTTTGCCTCATTTAGCTGTTTCGTCGGTATTGTTTCTGCTTCTGTTTCATTCTTACAGTTGTGTCCACCATTAGTCGAAATCTACTGCTGACGATTACACAATTGGCATTATTTTTAAGAAAACAAGAAATACCTTGACAAACATTGCATTCAAAAAATGCGGGTTTCCCAAGTGACAGACCGCATTTAGGATTCTTTATATTCAGTGTAACAAATGAAGGTTCCAAAAGTCAAACTAAAGCAAGTTATCCAAGATTGTCAAAGGGTAGCAGGAGAAACGTCCTGTTCTGTTTTGCTTTCCTCTGTAGGAACTTTGCGTGCGTGTGTGCCGATGACTGGCACAGGCGATGTCAAGATCGGCCTCAATGTAGAAGGCTCGTGAAAGGAAGCTACTGGGCAGCTGGAGACAGTCGCCTTCCCAACACCAGCAGAGCACCGGGCAGCTAAAATGTATCAAGTTGGCACAGTAGGGAGCACAGGTGGTGCGCCTCTGCCAGACATATAAGTCAATCCATGGCACCTGGGCATGTCCCGTGACCTGATGATTCCACAGAGCCTTCGACACTTCCCTCAGCCTCAAAGTGCACTGAGCCTGGCACAGGCGCTGTGGTGACGTCACCGCCACTTAGTGATGAACGGCGGCTGCTGCTGTTGCTGTGTGCGTGTGCACGTGCGTGTGTTTGAGTGAGTCAAGGTGTGGGTAGGTGCTGCGTGCACTTTGCTGGTATACAGACCCTGCAGTCTGCGTGCAAGCTCCCTGGTGAACAGCACGTTGGCCAGCTTGCTCTGGTTGTAGCTCGTGCCAGGGTTGTAGTCCTGGTCCAAGTTGATGTCGTCAAAATGGATTTTGCCTTTTGTCAACCAAAAAAACATAAACAGGTAAGTAAAATCGGAATCTTTATTTCGACTGGACGAATCCGATGAGCTTTGAAAGCTCCTATTCACACATGTTCAGTAGATAAAATAACATGCTTTCATATTCATACACATTCATGCAACAATTAGGGGCCTAACAATTCAGCCACACTGCGATTATTTAGGAATTGTTGCGACTTAATGATTTTTACATTTATTTATATATCACCAGGAGTGGAGCCAGGATTTTGACTTGGAGGGGCTGACTTCAATATTCTGAGATATCCAGTGTTTATGTTTTCCAATGGGCGCCACAAATGTATACAACACATTTTATTGGATTTGAACGCGGAGTTTATTAATAGGTTGGAGCCGCTGATGTGGCTAATAAGTTCTATAAGTTCGAAAGGCTGCCGCTCAAGCAGCCTGCAGGGCAGCAGCACAAGGTGGCAGCCTACAGGGCAGCACACAAGGTGGCAGCCTGCAGGGCAACACACGAGGTGGCATCACACAAGGTGACAGCCTGCAGGGCAGCACACAAGGTGGCAGCCTGCAGGGCAGCACACAAGGTGGCAGCCTGCAGGGCAGCACAAGGTGGCAGCCTGCAGGGCAGCACGAGGTGGCAGCCTGCAGGGCAGCACGAGGTGGCAGCCTGCAGGGCAGCACACAAGGTGGCAGCACATGGTGGCAGCCTGCAGGGCAGCACACAAAGTGGCAGCCTGCAGGGCAGCACGAGGTGGCAGCCTGCAGCATTTTGCAGCAGCCGGATATCCGGTTATCCCGATTATCAACTTTCCCAAAATTTCAGGGGGGGCTAAGCCCCACCCCCCCAACCGCCCCTGTGACTCCGCCCCTGTATATAACAGTGATATTAGTGGACTCAATCCACTTGCATGGGCCACCAGAAGTGTACACGTGAACGTATAAGAATGGGGAAAACATCCTCCTAGAAGAGTGTTCATTGGGAAAAGTGCAACCCTTATTCTGCAAATTATATAGAAATAGATCAAACATTTTAAGTCACGACGGAGGATATTTTGGGGGGTAAAGTAACCGTCAGAAAAACCCTCCACTGCGGCCGTCCTCTGACACACAGGATGCACGACTTTGGGAGATTTCCTCATAGATTCAGTTTAACACGTCGGCCTTCGCAACCGATGTCATCCATAAGAGGTGTTTTTTTGGAGGGGTTAGATCGCGTAAATGTATTATTGTGTCGTCAAACCTACCACCAGAGTTGTCACGTAAACAAACGTTGTGGCTCGGCTCTCCAACACACAACCGGTGTGCTGTACTAGTATACTACACTATACACTACACTATACACTTTACACACTATACATTACACTATACACTACACTACACACTATACACTACACTATACACTTAAACACTATACACTACACAACACTACATTATACACTACAATATCAACTACACTACACACCACACTACTATACAATACATATACACTAGACTACTATACACTACACTACTGTACACTACACTATTATACACTACACTAGTATACACTACACTATACACTTCACTATACACTCCACTACTATACACTACACTACTATACACCACTACCTTGCACTACACTATACACTACTATACACTACTATACACTACACTATACACTACACTATACACTACTATACACTACACTATACACAACATTATACACTACACACTACACTATACACTACTATACACTACACTATACACTAGTATACACTACACTATACACTAGTGCTGTACTATTGACGAATTGGCCACGTTCTGCTTACGTGACAACCCTCACTAGTTGGCTGTGTCGGGTGGTGGCGGGTTTTAACGACACAACATTTATATATCTACGCCATCTAACCCCGCCCCCCCCAAAAACAAACCTCCCCATGGATTCTTCGCCTCGTCACACGACGCCGGTCAGGCAGCCATAACAGAGCAGGGGGCGGGGGGTGCGTGGCGGAGTTGGGAAAGAAGACGAAAAAAAAATGTCGTTTTGAAGATTGTAATCCTGTAAACGGTTGTGCGCTGAGGCTGGGCGTGCAATGTCGCCCACCACGCCTGTGGGCGAGGCTCGAGACGTTGATGACGCGGCTCGGGGCGGACTTCTTGAGCATGTCGAGCACCAGGTTCGTGAGTAGGAAGTGGCCCAGGTGGTTGACGCCAAACTGCATCTCAAAGCCATCCTCGGTCTTCCACTTGGGGCACCGCATCAACCCTGCCAAATGCACAGCCAAAGGTGATTGCCAAAGGTACCCCCCCTGTAGCCCCGTCCATCGTTTTGGGCTGTGGGCGAGCGTTCTTTAACCCCCGGAATGTTGCACAATGGGGGTGGTGTGGCCGGAGTCATTCCCCTGGGGTATGGCGAATCGGGGCGACCACCCTGGGGCCCTCACTGCGTGATTTTTCCCGGGCCACGCACCCCTCCTTTGGACGGCCCTGGGTGTAGATAGCACCGCGCCCGGCCGCCTCTGTCTCCCCACTGCTGATATTTACATGCCGCACCAGGCTACAGTGCAACTCGCGACGTCCTCCTCCTCCTCCTCTCTACACCAACGACCGGCACTGGTACTGTCAGGCGTCGTTTCTCCATGGCAGCCCCCCGGTCGTTGAGAACGCGACCGCCATCGCCATCCCACTCACTGCGCACTCACAGCAGCATTAAAGGCGCCAGACCTCTTACTGTCCCCACCTCTTCCAGGCCTGGCTTTCGGGCGACACCGAGCTCAGCTCACGGCAATTTGCATTCGATAAAAAAAAATCGCCGCGCGTTATCGGTTTTTGCGCCGCAGAGTTGGAAATCCGTCCGTCGTAGTGGCGTCGCGGAGCGGGGTGGGGGGGAGCGGCGGGGGGGAGCGGCGGGGGGGAGCGGCGGGGGGGGGGGGAGCGGGGGAACAACGCCGGCGCACGCACCGGCGTTGTTCACGAGAACGTCGAGCCGCTTCTCAGTGTCGTGCAGGCGCCGCGAGAACTCGCGCACGGACGCCAGCGAGGCCAGGTCCAGGCGCTCGACCACGACGTCGGTGTTGCCGCTCCGGCGGCGCACCTCGTCGGCGGCCTCCCGCGCCTTGCCCTCGTCCCTGCACGCAAGCACCACCCGCGCACCTGCCCGGCACGGGCGGCTTCGCTCGGAAGTTCGTCGTCGCGATGTTTCATCGTCGCGCTCGTACCCTATATCGTCGTTTGGTTTACGTAAAAAAAAAAAAGCCACCCCCTGCGGTTGTGCACTCAAATTGGAGCGGTCTATTGCCGAGTGTGCCCGGCGGAAGGCTCACTGAGCTTGCACGCTTCTTGGTGAAGGGCGTTCCCCCCGCTGGAGGGGGGTCCTGCTCTGCTGCTGTTACTGGACTGGGGTCCCCACCCCCCTGGGGTCCCCCCCCCCCTGGGGTCCCCCCCCCTGCTGATCACCCCCCACCCCTGCTGATCCCCCCACCCCCCTCCACCACGCTTTAAGTCCAGGCTCATGGCCTCTTCTGTCCGCTGCCTTTGTCTGGTGTCCTCTGCTTCCTAATCCCGCCAGCGGTCGTGACCCCGGCCCATTGCATGCCCCTCCCCCCGACCCCATTGTGTACCATGGCTCAAGGTGTCGTGGTTTAGATGCCTCCTAAATCGACACTCTAGGGTGTAACGTGCTTAGGTGACCAATTGACGCTTAACGACTGATCCCTCGAGCGATTCAATCAGTTGCCTCTATGCGGGGGGGGGGGTCCACGATTGAATTCTATAATCGTTGCTTCACGTCATAAATGTTGATAATTTTGTGTGTTCGTGTTTCGCGTGTGCTGCCGCTAACCTCGGCGCGCGAGGTCCACCGCGGTCTCCTTGCCGATGCCGGTGTTGGCGCCCGTGATCACCACCGTCTTGCCGTCCATGCGGGCGAGGCTGCGGCAAACGCCGCCGGACAGCCAGCGCCGCAGCAGCACCAATCCCATTCCTGCGCTTGCGACACGAATCCCGTAGCACAGTGGAGCGCTTGGATTAAACACCTCGGGCGGAACGCGCGGCGTGCGGGCAGTGCACGGTGCCGATGTTCCTGAAGTGACGCTGCTGTACTCTTTCTCTACGTATTATTGAACGCTTTAAAAAAAATGTAATAGGTAAAGCCCACTGAGCTGTATAGCTCTTTGTCAGATCGAACCCACGACCTCCTGCATACCGGGCGAGGTAGTTAACATCTTGCCACCGTAGTGGCCCTGTTATGTCAGTGTGTGCGTTTATTTGTGCTTGCTAACAGTACTAGCCGCAGCAGCGCGTTGAGGCTATAAGGGGGATCTTTGGAGGTGGCAGAAAAACGGTTTCCCGGCATTCATCATCAGCCGTGATCTATCCGCTTATGGATGAAGGTTTCCCCGAGCCATCGCCATCTCTCACAGTCTCGCGAGGCAATGATCCGCCCGCTATTTTTCTCCATCTGCACGGTGGATGTGGCTATCTCGGGCGGGTTCTCTACGTTGGCTGCGATTCCGCCGCTAGGCTCCACTACCGGTCATCCCTTCTTGCGATGCGTCCTGTCCGAGCCCACTCATTGTTCTGAGCAATCAGTTGTTTTACAAATACATTTTATATATGTTTGATCTTTCCCCCGATGTGAATTCAATCGTACTGTGGGCATCCTAGTATAGAACGGTCCTTGTGTAGTGACCAGTAGCCTCACTACCAGGTGGACACATACGCGCACACGTGGGACGTCACAATGCGGGGGAACGTCATTACCACGCGGGGCCACACACACACACATGACGTCACCCCTTCTGGGTGCGGGAATGACGTCACGGACTGTTCAGCGGATCTGGAGGCCGTCGATGAGTGCCCCGGGGGTTGTGTCAGGCCATGGTACTCTGAGTTAACCCGGCTGGACACGTGACCGGATCAAGGTGGGGGCCAGGGGCACCTTAGGGGCCACGTGGACAGGAGGAGGAGAGCCTTCTCGAGAGTTCTCGAAGGCAGGCGTGGCCGGGGTGTGGCACCGGGCTCGAGGCTGCTCGGGTCCGGGATGATAGACGCCTTGTGAAGAGCAACAAGCCTCAAAGTCAGCGTGGCCTACCTGGCTGGGCCACGCTAGTTATGTCCGAGCGTCAGTAAACAGTGGTGTGTTAGCGAGCCTAGGCCAGTGGTGTCGCCACCCTACGTGCAGCGTTAAGAGTCAGTTACCTGTTGTGTTCCGTGATGAATAGTGTTGCCTCTTCTTTGGTTCTTTCGGTAAAGTCACGTAGAATGAGAATAAAATAATAAATTGATAAAATAAAATAACACAATAATATTCTCAATTTATTATTTTATTCTCATTCTACGTGACTTTACCGAAAGAACCAAAGAAGATGAATCATTGCAGTCACGAAAGCTTTAAATCGAAATTTAATAGTGTTGCCTCCCAAGAAGTTGTGTGCGCCTCATTCGAGCCCACTGCACTTGCAAAGAGATAGCGCAGAACCTTCTGAAACGACTTCGGGTGCGACGCCTTGCTTACACCAGGGGGCAGCACTTTCCCAGAGCAACGATGCCCGTAGTCTGACAGGACCGAGACAGGTATTGGACCGTCTCTCATGTTGCCAAAATTGAGTGCATAACCAAAGTTATCGTGATCGGTTTTTTTTTCACCCGTTAATGATGCGCGCGCGTGTGTGTGTGTAGTCATTAGTGACGGGGCTGAGACCATCAATTCACACTACATGAGAAACCAGCTTAACAATGACAGCCGCCTGAACCCCAGATGATTTGAACTCTGGATTTCAACGGTGTTGATACCGCCACACTGAAAACTTAACATGGCAAAACAAGGGCACCATCACTTGCACCTCCGATTAGCACGTGTGGCTTCGCACGGTGCCGAAGTAGTTCAACATACATGCATACAAACAGTTGTAATGTTGTGATTACCACTACAGTACAGCGCAATGCAGGGCGTGCATTATAAAGCCAGTCCGTCCGGATTAAGCTGCGGTGTTTTGTTTAAAAGACACCACTGGAAGGAATGTTTTGTACTATTTCTGCACGGGGTGGCGGCGATGTCACGGTCATCGGGGCACTGCGCTATTATGAACCCACCAACATGAGTTCAAGTCCCGGCCGCGGCTAGCTAATGTCAGTGCCTCGTGCTGTCAAAGTGGTTCTGGACGCCCCTGCCCTTCACCAGGCCACACTGTGTGATTAGGTACGACCCAACAACCTCCTCTGAATGACATTCGTTTGCAGACATCTTCGTCCAGCAGTGGATTGGCAACGGGTTCTGAACTACCTCGCCTGACATGCAGGAGGTCGTGGGTTCCATCCCGACCCTGACGCCTGCTGTAGATTTGGAGTTTGCGTGTCTCTCTCATCATCATCACGGTGGCTAGGAGATGTTAACTACCTCACCTGGTATGCAGGAGGTCGTGGGTTCGATCCCGACCCTGACGTCTGCTGCTGTATATTTGGAGTTTGCGTGTCTCTCTCGCGTGGATTTTTCTCCGGGTCCTCTGGTTTTTCCCTCCACATTTAGAAAACGCACGTTTTGAGTATATGGCTACTGCTATACATTTAAATCTTGACTTAAAGCTTTCGCGACTGCAGGAATGAATATTCCTGGGTCTTTCGGTAAAGTCACGTAGATAGGTTAAAAGAAAATAACAAAAACTGCGACGTTTTGATCGCTTGATGACGATTGCTTGCGTTGTGATCGAAGCGTCGTAGTTTTTGTTAATTTTGTTTTCTTTGAACCTATCTACGTGACTTTACCGAAAGACCCAAGAATATGCTATACATTTCCACATGATGATAAGCCACTTCGTTGAGCAATCATTTGTGATAACCAGGTCGCTTCCGAAAGAGAGGCATAAGGCTCAGTGGGCCTCACCTGGTAAAATACAAAGTTTGGTTTTAGTTTTCCACTCAGTGGCACAGCCTGCTCGACTGGTGATATTGTGAATCTTACTCGCCTCTATCGCCACCCAACATCTAAATGAGGTCAAGATCAAGGCGCCATCCCCGTTGTGCAAGTGCAGGGCGGATGCCGTGTGTCTAACCCCAGATTACAGAGTTTAATCCGGTCGATGCCTGTCCTTGCTCCTATTTTGAGCAAAGGAGAGAGATGATTATCACTAGCCCCCCTCCACTTCTACCACCCTCCGCCACTCGACTCACCTTCACCCCCACTGACGTGGAGTTAAACCCATAATCCGTAAACCTACAGCGATGACGGCCCCCGTAATACTGTCACCGTGATATATTTTAGTACGAGGCAATTGTTGGCGTAGAGTTGCCACTTTGTATGCATGAGGTCACCATTGGCCATCGTTTTGGATGCTCGTCCAGAATTTAGGAATGTGGAATTTCGACCACTGACTGGCTCAAGGCTGTAGATAGGATTAGAGATGGCACTGTCTCACTCGTCGGATTAGGAAACTGTTTTGTATGTTCATAATTGGAAGCACATGCCCCCCCCCCCCCCCGAATGAAATATTATCATTCACATAATAACAATGTTTCTGTATTCAAACATTTGAGTTTAGAGTTGCCCTTCACCACATAAATAACCTCTTGTTGTTGTAACAGCTCTCTTGCTGGTTCAGCAGTTTCACTGCTGGATTATTTTTTCTGCCTGAGGACGACCGCTTGTGTTGCGATCGAAACGTCGTGATTCATTATTTTACATTTTATTTTATTTTTCTACCTACGTGACTTTACCGAAAGAACCAAAGAGTATGGATTCCTGCAGTCACGAAAGCTTCACATCACGGATGATCCCGTTTAGCCAGCTGCCCGGCTATTTTCCACGGGAGATCCGTAGTTCCTGAGCACGTCAAAACAAAAGACAACAAGCGTCGACATTGCAGAGAAACGAGTCACAGCAGGGTCCACAAGGGACATTGCACAACGAGCAATCGAGGTATTTAACGGTCGTAAACTAAACACAATGCGAATCGAAACCAAAAACAGCGCAAATACGAGAGCAGGAGGCTCCACAAAAAAAAAGTTACAGGTGCAAGTAAGCTCGATACTTCAGTTGAACAGGGACATCAAAACATGCGAATCTAAAAAAAAATACATTGCAAACGTAAGTGCGTGTTACCACATACACTCAAAAAGTTGAGTGGATGTATGTTGAACTTCTTTCGCACCGTACGTAGCCGACCGTGCTGACCGGTGATTCGGAGGACACCATACAGACGTTGGCTGTTTTTTTATTTACACGTTTTTTTATTGACTCACTCTGTCTAATGTATCCTCAAATCTTGTAACTCAAATTTTACCCACTTCCCAATGTGGAATCGACTGCAAACTTGGTATACTTATGTCATACTGATGACAATACTATATTATATCATTAAAAATAAATATTTTCAAAACATTGTTTTTTTTAAACGTTATGTTTCGGCTTGGGTCTAATTGTCCACGCTCAACTCACGTTGGCTGTACATCACCACGGTCCCTTGCGTTATGGCAAGCTTCGGGGCCACTTCCTGGAGTGTGGAGTTCTTCCATTACTAGTACGGAACATTTCAATAAAGTGTGTTTAAAAAAAAGTTTTTTTAAAATACTGCTTATTTTGTTTTTACCGCGACAAAGCCCACATGGTAAGCTTCTCCCAGCTCGTCGGTCGACTACCACCGGTCGTTGTGTGCGAGTGTGCTTTAGTTGCACGTAGAGAGTTGTGTAGAAACCAAACGCGCGTGAGACACGTCCCCCTGTCTGGGCATCAAGAAAGCCGCACAGCAAGTGGGTTTTGTTGGCCTAAAGGTGGGTAATTGCTTGTGCGAGTGACAGCCGCATATTTGTGGTTTCATTTATTCAGGTTTCATTCCGCGTGCAGAATAAATTATATTCCCAAACATTCTAATGTCGTTGTATTTACCCAGAGAAGCCTCGCTGAGTCTCAAGACTACAGGAATTCCTCTACTTGCGAACGAGTTAGGCTCCAGAGGTCTGTTCGTACGTCGATCCCAAACGTGTTGTACG